ATATATCCACTTTATTCATCATTAACTTAATGTCCCATTAATTTCAGTGGGTTTAAAGCATGGTCACTGTAGTGTGAAAATGAGAAAAAATGGAACTCCACTCCCCACAGGAAAAATAGAACTTTGCTTCTGAGAAATGGGTATAGGTAAGAGGTAGCCACCAGTATTATCAGTATTATTTAGTAACATATTTCCTTAGATAAATCAGGGTATCTGTCTGGTTGTTGCTAGAGTCAGTAAACTACTGTTCTGTATGTAGTTTGGTTTGATTGACCAACACAATTATTTTGCTCTTGAAACTTAACCCATTTAAAAGATGCTTAAAGGGCAACTTATGCTCCCCAGAGGTGTCTAGGAGGTGTGATTTGCAGTATTTGAGCAAATACGATGGGAAAAAGGGACCATATGCAACTTATGAGCCAGATCATCCGTCGCTGTGTCTTAGATAGGAGGGACATGGATAACACATTTACAGTTGAGCAGAAGGCCTCTTCTGGGTTAGCTGTGTTTTGGTTTCTTGTGTTTTTGGTGATCTGTGTGGCCCCTGAAGGATCTTAGAGCATATAATTAACCCCTGGGGCTGAAGAGTTTCTAGGGGGAGATTTATTGTGCCAAGAACTTCAAATTTTCAAATTTAGCTTAAGGTTGCTATCCAGTACAATATTTAAAATGTACATTGTTGTGCAACCAGTTGTGTAAGTGGTTGGCAGGCATTTGTCCAACTGTTTGCAGAACAGATTGTGCAGTACAGAAATCCAGTGCAACTGCACCAGTGAGGATGTTTGCTTCACTAGCGCCATACTGCAAGAGTTTCACTAGCAAGAGTTTCTTGGTAAACGCAGAGCTTGGCTTTCTCTCCAAATCAGCACAGTGATTACCTCCCTGTCCCTTCCCATGGCTTACAGTAACTGAATGTAGTTTCCTGCGATGACTGAAGTAGACAGGTTGGATTGAATCCAGAAGCTGCTTTATGTAGATAGAACAGCTCTTCTCACAGAACATCCCCATTGCTGGATTTGGAGGAGGTCTATCCTTCCCACTTGTGTTATAGTCCACTATGTTCACCAGCATCATGGGACCCTTTGTGGAGCATGTGGAGGTGAGGGCTGTCTTGGGAAGACAGAGTAGGGATGTCTGTTTCAGCCACTCTACTTGCTTATGCCTAAATCTGGATCCAAACCTCTGTGTTTAGTGTTTGAAGTTCAAATTCATTTCATAGCTTGGGGACAGTTCAGATAACCATAGTTTTCCCAATTCAGTCATCTGTGTAAATCATGCCTATCATGACTGTGGGTGGCAAGAAAGACTCTGCATTGAGCGGTGAAAGAAGGGGAAACAACAGGAGGAACTATTTGTGGGTTTGTGTCTCTAGATCAGCGACGGCGAACCTATGGCTCGCATGCCACAGATGGCATGCAGAGCCTTCTCTGTAGGCACATGAGCCGTACGTTGCCATCAGGAAATACTTACCCATCATCCGATCCTGGATTTCGACACTCCCCTCTGCTGGTGTAGTGGTCCAGTGGAAGGGTGCAATAGTGGCCATTACTGGGCTAGCCTGATAGGGGATTGAAAGACTGGTAAGTATTTCTCTGTTAACACCATCAGTAGGGAAAAGAAACCAAGCATTTAACCCTTGCAGTGCAGGAGCAATTGTTTTTTCTAAACTAAAACCTCAATATTCAGGTTTAATTGCAGAGTTGACCCTTTGTAATGAAGTTTGTGAGTGCTCACTGGAAGGACCTGAGTGCACACTGGAAGGACAGATCCTGAATCTGAGGCTCCAATACTTTGGCCATCTCATGAGAAGAGAAGACTCCCTGGAAAAGCCCCTGATGTTGGGAAAGTTTGAAGGCAAGAGGAGAAGGGGATGACAGAGGACAAGATGGTTGGACAGTGTCATTGAAGCAACCAACATGAATTTGACCAAACTCCAGGAGCCAGTGGAAGACAAGAGGGCCTGGCGTGCTCTGGTCCATGGGGTCACGAAGAGTCCGACACGACTAAACGACTGAACAACAACAATGAAATTGGTTTTGTGGTGCAGTTTGGGCACTCGGGCTCAAAAAGGTTCACTATCACTGCTCCAGATGATGTTTCCTTATGGGTATTTTTTCTGTTAGTCAGTTTCCAACCCTCCATGGATAAAACAAGAAGGGAAGAGGTGGAAGAGTGAATTAAACAAATAGAGAGCAGGAAAGATAGTCAATAGGGGAGGGCAGTATGTGTTGAAAAAGAGACATCAACAGGTTGTTCCAGCTATATATGGACAGGCAATACTAGGATGACCCACTACATCAAAGTGCATATAGCAACAAATACTCTTGTCATGTGTGCATGCAAGCACTGGTATGTCTATTCAGATCTTCTGCAAAAGAATAAGAAACAATCCAAAACAACCAGAGGAAAACACTATTGTGTGGATGAGCCTGATGCTGCGATACAGTTGCCGCTGGATCATGCTAACATAAGCATATCACCAAGAAGAAAAATAGTCATACATACAGTAGATAATTGACACCCACATATTAAAGGTCCCTATGAGTCATGACACCTAGTCCTATCAATTATTGGTCTTCAAATACCTTCATTGTACACCATAGTTTCAAAGTGCACATAGGTAACCAATGTAAATCCCCCCCAATGACTTTTGTTATCATTTGAATTGTCTATTTTGCTTCAGCTTTGATAATAAGATTTTCACTCATGTTTTTATTAGGTGCATACCCACATTGTCCATAATTTCAAACTATGATATTATCAGAAGCAAACAAGAACAAAAATAATGTCGGCTGCAGTCTCAGAACTCAAAGCGCCATTACTACTAATGAACTCCCTAGACTTTTCAAAGAAATTTCTTTCTACAAATAAAACTCAGAAATTACTGTAATAAGCTGAATGCAGAAATATTGTGGGAAGAAGGATCATTGAAATGCAGGATGGGATTTGCTTGTCATAATCCCGTTAACCATGGTGCTGGGAAACGATGTGCATAAAGAGTAGCATTTTGCTGAACTCTCTGTGAAAACTTTTCTTTAACAAAAGAGAGAGAGAGAGAGATTCTGTATGCTTTGTTTGTGTTTTAAATAAATATAATACAGTATTTAAACAAATATATCCTTAAAGATGCGATAGGAAATGCATAGCCTGAGGTGGTTGACTGTGCTTATTCTTGTTGAGTTGTTTCACTTCATGAAAATTAGAAAAAGCTTAATCATAAACTTCTCTCACTCTATTTATGACTGAATGATTTAAAAAATTAAGCTCTTCTATTACGGAACTAGGCATAACATCAACATTTAAATAGACCGTAAGTTCTGGGGGAAAATTGAGTGGTTAATTGAAAATGTCTTGTATAACACTCGTATTATAAATTAATAAGACAGTACTGTAGTGGGTTTTGTTTTTTTGTTTTTTGCCCAGTGACCTAAATTGTGTTCTAGCGTTTTTGTACTTGACACATTTCACTGTAGGACTGGATGTATGTTAGTTGTCAGGAAATTAATTTGAATGTCTGTACGCTTGATAAAATCAGTTATATAATTGATGGTGAATATTGTATTAATTAAAAAGTGATTCTTATTTTAACTTTCTTCCTTTCAGCGTGGTTTAGGCAACAGTGTTATGCCTTCTTGTCTGGGACTAACTCCCACACAAATACATTTTCTTCTGGATTTTCTTCTGATTTTACATATATATATGGGAGTGGAGATGGAGACGACTCACCATTTTGGCGAGTCGTCCTGCTTCATGAGTCATCAAAAGTTGATGACTCACGAAGCATGAAGTTGCCCCCATGAAGCGACAAATAACAAATATATTTGTTGATTCGAGGGGGCTCCCCTCCACCCACCCACCCCGCCTGGCTGACATCCCCTTCCTATTAAAAAACAACAACAAAACACTATTCTGCCTACCAGCCGCCAATCACCTGATCGGTGGCAGAAAGGCTGCCACCACCCACCCACAGCCACACAAACCCACAGCCTACCCCACCACCTCCTTCCTTTCCATACCTTAACCCTACCCCACTGACACTCCATTATCTTAATTGCTGATGCCGAGGTCTCCTTTTGGCATCCCAGACACAACATGTAAAAAGGGATACTGGCTGCTCTTTACAAAGATGGTGACTGTGGCTTCACTTAGGGTAAATAAGCTGCAGCTGCCATCTTTGCAAAGGGCGGCCTAGATTCCCTTAGCCTGCCTTAAGGGTGTTTTTGGTGTGTTTTTTTAAAAATACGAAGGACGAATAAAAATGGATAAATATTCATCCCTTTGTATTCATGAGGGTCTCTTGAGCCCACAAATATGAAGGGATGAATATTTAATGAATCGGCTATTTTCATCGAAAAAGCCGATCCATTTTTATATTCGTCTCCATCTCTAATTGGGAGGATTCTGCATAATTCCTGTCTTTTAAAGTTTACACTGATGAGTGTTGCACTCTACATGTGGTTGTGAAGTCAGTTGGTTGAGTTAATGTGATGGCATGGAATATTCATAAACATTCCAGCTTTTCAGGAAAAAAGATGCTAGAATCCTTTCTCCTTAATTTCATTAAACTCAGAACGCAGTAATTTAAAGTACAATTTATATGAGCATGCAGGACTGTTTTGCAATCAGCAAGCAGCAAATGTATTTTGAGTATCTCCCATCTTCGTATTTGATGTAGAAAGGCTGCGGTCTTCACATATTTACTTTGGAGTGAATCCCATTGAACTGAATTGAATTTAAGTTGGTCTTAATAGACAATGCATTAACCAGGATCTCCAAAGTGAGTGATGAATCAAAGATGATATATATTCCTTTTAATCCATATTCCTTTTAATCCTCCTTTATAATTTTTCTGTTAAATAATGGTCTCACCTTACATAGATTTAAACATAAATTCCTGTCAGAATAACACATGGTGATGCTTCATCCCCAACCATCCTCCAAATGTAGTCTTTCATTGTTTTATGTAACTGACAAAAAGTTCTTTCTTCCATGCCTTGCAGGAACCAAGAAAGTTACAAAATGTATGCACTGGGATTACGGTTGGAAAGTTTGCATTAGAACCATTACTGCTGCTCCTTCCACTATGTGTTGTTGACAAAACAAAGGAAACCTGTGATTTAGAGCCAAAAACAGATGTTCAGGTGAGCCCACTGTTAGAAATTGAACCCCCCCTTAAGAAGGCAAAGTTGTCTGTTTGTCCTAACTCACGGTTCTGCACCAATGCAACTTGCACATTAACTTGTGGAAAGCAAGTGGTCCTGGAAACACAAGCAATCTAATTTGCATGTTGATTTGTGCAGACATTGCTGCTTTGAAGAACTGCATCTCTGGAGGAAGAGTGTACTGCTGCCTTCTAATTGCGAAGCTAGCATCTTCAGTCGTTCAGCCCTGAGGGTGTTTAATATTTTTATTGTGAAATTGCCCTGCGTCTTTCAGATAAATTAATGGTTGGTTACGTTATCTTCCATTTGTGCCCTTCTTGTTTTCCCACCTTCTCTTCCCTCTTTCTTTCACACCAAAATAAATCAGTTTAGGAGGAAAACTTGAAATAACTGTGTGGTGTTTTTTGAAGTCTTCCATCAGTAACTACTGGTGTGTCCTTTACCAAAAAGCGTCCATTGGTTGGGAGGATACCAAAACTGGATTAGAACAGCTGAATTGAGGGAACCCTCTTTCACCACAGTTGTGTGTAGCTTAATTGCCCCATACACATGGAAAAGTATATGATTTCAATTTCAAGATTTAGAGGACAGTTTGATTGCGAAATTGTTTCGTGGCCCCACCCCATATGCCACTAATCTTATCAAATTTGGAGATTCCAGTGGATACTTGTAGGAAAATAAGATGTCATGTGAGCTTGTCTTTGTTGAAATGTCTTTTCTTTTAATTTATTTTAACTGAGTTGCACTAGCATTCATTTTCCTGAAGAGCAGAGTTAACCTCTATTAAATGAATTGATGAATTAGAACATAGAAGGTTTTTGCTCCAGCCTTAAAAGCAAGGTAGGAAAAGTGCAACTTGTGAGACACATGCAGTCCCCTAGATATCTTCTTTCCCTCCCCATCTTAGGGCAGAAAAATGCAAATGCTAACTCTTCCTGAAGCTTACTTCTTTATTTCTATCAGAAACACCACAATAAAATGCCTGCATATAAACACATACAAAATGCAAGCTGGTTTACAAAAAGAAAACTATAAAGCTTAGGTAAGTATATCAGATAATTTTCACTCAATAACAGGCAACATCAAGACCATTTGGGGTAGCTAGCAACAAGTTTTTCATGGCACAGGTTGAGGGTCATAGATGTCTATTCTTCTGTGCACTCACAAAAGCATTTTCTGAAGCTCAGTTTGGTTCTGCCAGCTTTTCCATGGAACCCAGTTCTCCATGTGACATGGGGATAGACTTTTGTAGGGCTCCATCAGGTTTAAGAGGTGGGAAGGTCTTCCTTTCCATGTCATAGTCCTGATGTGGAAATTTAAAGTATCTGTTTTTCCTTCAAGATTCACAGATGTTCTGGAAAAAAAACATCCTTGATTTTAATCTGGGGTGTGTGTGAATTGGTAGCCAAAGAGCAGATGTGCAATTGATGTAGATGCTCCAAAAGCTCGAATAACTACTGTTTATGGTTCACAGCAGTTTGGTAGTTATTCAGATACAAAATTTATCCTATTCACGTTATCTTGAATCCTGATACTGCCTTTTGAAACATCATCATCCCATCTACTTTTTCATATATAAAAATGTTAAACAACACTGGGTACAGAACACAACCTTCTGGTTTCTTACTTGCTGTGTCTTTCCTGGTTGAGGAGGAATTGCTGATGGTACAGTCGAACAAACAGCTAAATATCCATCTAACCAGTAGAATCACCCAACCCACCAAAGTGGCCATAAGAACAAGGTCCCTTGTTGAAAGCATAGTGAAACTAAGATATGCAGTGCCCACAGCATTCCTCTCATCTATACTGTTTGAAATTCTGTCAGAAAAGCAGGTACAATTAGTCAAGTTTTTGAGAAACCCATGCTAGCTCCTACATCACTGTATTCTTTTGTAAGTGTTGATAGACTGACTGTTTAATAATATGTTCTAGAACATCTCTTGATATCGACATTAAACTGTGTCAATTATAGGTTTTGGGAAAATTATATGGCAGGAAAAATTAATATGGAGCTTGAATGAGAAATATTGAACATGTAAAATGCAGGAAGTTGGCATTCAAAATGTATTAAATTGCCCAAATGTGGTATTAAGGAAAATACTCCAAATGGGGGCATTTCCTGGCTGGTAGATGGCTTGTAGATCTCCTGACTAGTAGATATGGTGTACCTAAGAGAACCTAGGTCTCTGAAAATCCATTTTCCCAAGAGGGCAAGAATTCAGCAGCATGATGTTTTGTCTACCTTAAAACATCAAGTGTATAAAAACAGAGCTTTCCATCAAGTTAAAGAGGATGTCTCCAAAACACACTGCCACCTTGGTTTTATAAACAGGAGAGAAATCTCTGTTGGGAAAACATTGGGTGAGAAATATCTAATGCAATATGTGACTTTATGCTTTGATAGACTTATTTTAAGAACAATTTGTACTGCAATAGAGTTTATTTTTAAGTGAATGAATGTGAGTTATCTAAGAAGATAGCCTTTTACTATAGAAAACTTGCTTTCTTTGTATTTTTTTAATTCATGAGCTTCACTCCTATATTGTTTAAACAAAAGCTCTAATTTTATTAGACCCAGAGTTTGTTTTTAATAGAAGTATTACTTACATATATAAACCAGAGAAATTTGTAATAAAAGGTTGTGGTTTTTTAAAATATATACTCGTGTAATTTTTACATATAGCCCAAGTATATTTTACATTTTTGGCTTTTAATTACTCAACTGCTTGGTAAATAAACCTTTTAAAAAAGAAAAGTATTCATTCTTGAATCTTTAAGACAAAATACTAAAAAGGCATCCAGGAATGAGGCATTAAATCTGCTATGATTAATCCGTTAATCACTTCTGAGATAGGATTCCTCATATCTTTCTTGTTTTAATGCCACTAGTTTTTATACAGTCTAGCTTGAGAATGTACAGAGCATAGTCTAGTCATTTGCTGTGGCTTGAGGGTTTGGTCAAAGTTTTTGGAAGGGTGTTACAAATCATTTGCTTTCTCAGTTATTGCCATTCTGGGCTCATAACTTCTAATGAGATAGTGGTGATTGATTGGAGCCAAGAGTAGTCTGTTCTAGTTAGTGCTTCTTATAAGGAGATGTAAAAGTGTTTCGGGAACCTTAAGAATGGTAACAGTTTTTCTTCAGTTACTCCTGTTTCTCTTGAGGCAGCCTGTGTGAGCACATGCTTTTCATGCAACTCTCAACATGCTTCAATGAAACATATAATCTAGATTAACTTCATCCTGGTTGAAGCATGGAAAGTTGGCAGCAGAACAACTTTGGTCACCTTGGGTTATGGGTTATGCTGGGAGAAAGAGGAAGAAGTGTCAACCTATTGATTCTTCTAGACCACTCAGGGTTGCCATAAGTCAGGGATGACTTGACGGCACATGATGATTATAATGATTATTAGTTCCCTCTTCTGTTCAACCAAGATATTCAGCTCTATCAGAGTTCATTAAAATCTGTATTCTAATTCTAAACTTTTTTTAAAAAAATCAGATTCTTCATTTATTTTAATTTTTTTGCAACAAAACTGAGGATAGCTGATAGCACAATGCTGATTATCCATGGACCTCAGTGCAAGAATTACTATAACCAAGAGCTGAAACAGAAACTCTTACATGCAAATCCCGGACATAAAGTATAGTAGGAGGACATGGGCTGGCAAAATCTAGGTACCATCTAAACTGGGGGAAATTTGAATATGTGCACACATGCATGTACACACAAGGAGTTTTGTCAAATTTCAGGACCCTTGCTATAGGCAATGTAGTGGACTCTTCCCCTTCTTCTTTTGTGCAGCTCTAGTAACTCCAGTGGTACCTTAGCTGCCTTCACCAAATTCCAAGTACCACCCTGTGCAAGATGCCTTGGACACATAGTCATGTTTAGTCTCTAAGAGAGCAGAAATGTTTGCTGGCCCTGAAAAAAAGACTTATTTTGATGTAGTGGGACTGGACACTGTGTGCCCCCCACCCACCCCCAACATCCTAGAATAATATATCATTTGACAAATCTGGATGAAGAAATGGCAGAGGCTCTTTGCTGCCTCTAGATAACCTTACTCATTTTATTCAGATATCAAATAATGCAGAAGGCACAAAAGTCATGAGGAACTTCATAAGTGCCACTGAGTGAACCCAGCTCCACCTTCTTCTGAATCCAGCCAGCTAGCAGCAGGTTCATTTCAGTACAGGTCACCCAGTCACAAATCTGAGTGACCTGAATTAGAAATCTGGTTTAAAAAGAGGTTGTGACCTCCCTGGATACCTTGATTTGAATTGGACATCACTAGAAGTGTTTGATTGATTCATATTTTTTTTCACTATGCCATGGAAATTTGATAATGCAATCCTCTCCAGGTTTTTGGAGAGATGACATGGGACCCAGAGAAGTGCCAGAGTAAATATATCTGGGACAATGTTAATATAGAACTAGCATGAGCCTGATCTGTGGTTTGCAACTGACACATAAGCTTTCTAAAGTGTCTAAGTACAGTTGTAAAAATAATAAGAGAATTAGTTGACCCACTTTTTATGGAGGCATCCTAGGCATTGAGTTTTAATAATAGGATAAGTTGAATTCTGCTTTAATACTTGCAGATCTGTAGCTGAAACCTAGTAATGTAAAGTCTGATTATGTCCTCATCTGTGGCCAAATTTTGGTAACTAAAATTATTTTATTCCCGCCACTCCATAGGTTCCTAATCTCCCTTAGGATTTCTTTGGTCCTAAGGAAGATTTTAGTCACAGCAAGATGAGAGCAAGAAGTCTTAAATGTCTGGAAATTGCCACTCCCGCTCCTGACACAGCTGCAGGGCTGGCAGTGGTGTTTAGATAGTTTAAGACTCCCTTACCCTATCCCGCTTTCCTTAAAGGCTTCCCTGGGATCAGAAGGGTCCTTAGGGAGCCCAGGAACCCTTTGGGGAAAACGTCTAATTAACAAAATATAGACATGGCTGAGGATACCATCAGACTTGCATGGTATAACTTTACATTACTGGATTTCAGCCACTGTTTTTTGATTGCATTGTTGCAAACTGCATTAGGTCCCAGTTTGGGGAGGAATGTGACATGTAAATAAAATAAACAAGTAACACGTGTATAAACACTATACAGTGGGGTCTCTACTTAAGAACTTAATCCGTATTGGAAGGTGGTTCTCAAGTTGAAAAGTTCTTATGTTGAATCTGCATTTCCCATAGGAATGCATTGAAAACGATTTAATCCGTATCTGCTCTTTTCTGTCCATAGAAACTACAGTGGAACCTCTACTTAAGAATACGTGTATAAACACTATATGCCCATTGACCCAAATGGTCCAGGAATGAAACCCCATTATTAAAATTTGGTTTATTGTAAATGAGAGAAAGAACCTCGATAATTGAACACTGGCATTTTTTTTTAAAAAAAGCAGTATTACAGTAGTAGTCATTGTGTCCTGGTGCAGTGCAGAGGTACATGCTCATTGGCCCAAGGTTTGTGAGTTATACAAGAGTCTTTCAGTCGATCTCCCTAGCTGAATCTCATACAGATGAATTTCATACAGCTGTCCAAGCCTCTCAAAAAACAGTTTATTATATAATTCTGGCAAGAATGGACCATTTATGCTAGCATAGCCCTTCATCACAGGCACTGTCAGAAGTTCTGCGCTTTTTTTAGATGAGTAAATCTATGTTTTTGAAATTCTTGGGAGAAAACCACGGATGATATCAAAATCCTCCAGAGAAGCCATAGTTTATTATTTTTTTTAAATGCAGGGAATGAAAGAAAATCAAGGAAAAAAGTGTTTATTTTTTAAAGAATTTTTAAAAATGTGTCTAGAGGAATTAGTGAGTGCTAGTGGATACAATTTTAGAGTTGGGCTGAGGGAGATCTCGAGTAATTACTCCCCACTGCCCAGCCATGGAATCTTGGGGGGGTAAGTGGCAGTGGTAAACCATTTTTAGACTTCTGTTGTGCCTCAGAAACCTGTTCAGAACTTCCATAAGTTGGAAGTAACTTCACAGCATATGGCCACAACAAAGTAATTGTAAGTTAGAAGAATATAATTATCATTAATTTATTTTCCTGTACTTTCCGCATAATAGCTCAACCTTTCCATTGTGCAAACGTGCATTATATAGAGAGTATATAGATATTTTGTCGCTGAATGCATTTTCATTTGCTGTAGATAGGAGAGGCTGATACAACATTAGAATGAAAGATTTATTACTAGACATTATGCAGTCATTTAAATATCTTTATCTATATACTGCCTTTCCCAAGTTTCCATAGATTTAATTCAGTCTGGTCTTCTCCTTTCTCTATCAGGATCGCTTGACATACTTTCCCCCCAAGCCTGCGTAACTGAAACCTGAGGTTATGAAAGCCATAGATGGCCTCGCAGATACGACCTTCAGAACGGTTACAACAGATCTTCTTTACATGGGTTCTAACGATATCCAGTACGAAGACTTTAAAAGCAACATGGCTTCCAAGTTAGAATACTACTCGCAGAAATTCCCTCTTTCTTTCCGAGGTGATTTTCACCCAAAAATGACTGCAGGAGAAGATGCTGTCTTGGGGATTCACCAATCAGATCAGATCAATCTTACAGATTTCTACAACAAGAGCCTGTCCACCTTCAAGGACAATGAGGAGAACATACAGTGTGGAGACAACTTCATGGATATGGAATGCTTTATGATTCTAAACCCTACCCAGCAGTTAGCCATTGCAGTTCTTTCCCTTACCCTAGGCACCTTCACTGTCCTGGAAAACCTCCTGGTCTTGGTTGTCATCCTCCAGTCCCGAAGCCTCCGCTGTAGGCCTTCCTATCATTTCATCAGCAGCCTGGCAGTAGCTGATCTCCTTGGCAGCGTGATCTTTGTCTATAGTTTTGTTGATTTCCATGTTTTCCATCGGAAAGACAGTCCTAATGTTTTCCTGTTCAAGTTGGGTGGAGTTACAGCTTCGTTCACTGCCTCAGTTGGCAGTCTTTTCCTCACTGCAATAGACAGATACATATCTATACACAGGCCCCTCTCTTACAAAAGGATTGTTACTAGGTCCAAGGCTGTTGTAGCATTCTGTGTGATGTGGACCATAGCTATTGTAATAGCTGTCCTCCCTCTGCTCGGCTGGAACTGCAAAAAGCTAAATTCTGTTTGTTCAGACATATTTCCACTAATTGATGAGAACTATCTGTTGTTCTGGATTGGAGTCACCACTGTACTCTTGCTTTTTATTGTGTATGCCTATATGTACATACTGTGGAAGGCTCATAGCCATGCTGTTAGAATGCTTCAGCGTGGTACTCAAAAGAGCATGATCATTCATACTTCAGAGGATGGTAAAGTGCAGCAGGTCTCCAGGCCTGAACAAACACGTATGGACATCAGGTTAGCCAAAACCTTAGTCCTCATTCTTGTGGTTCTGATCATCTGCTGGGGTCCTCTACTTGCAATCATGCTCTATGACGTCTTTGGGAAGATGAACAAGCTTGTCAAGACTATCTTTGCCTTCTGCAGCATGCTGTGTCTGCTGAATTCCACAGTGAATCCCATTATCTATGCTCTCAGGAGCCAAGACTTGCGACATGCTTTCAGAAGCATGTTTCCACCTTGTGCAGGGACCGCACAACCTCTGGATAACAGCTTGGAGTCTGACTGCCAGCACAGACATGCTAACAATCCAGGTAATGTCCATAAGGCTGCTGAAAGGTGTATTAAAAATACAGTAAAGATTGCCAAAGTGACCATGTCTGTCTCCTCAGACACAACTGCAGAGGCTCTCTAAAGAAATCTCATCCTCACGAGAGCACAAAATAAGAGAAGGCAAGAGAAATTCATTCAGAAAGTGTGCGTTTCTTTAAATGTATCATTTTTATATATTATTTATTTAGAGTGGCTCTGGTGCTTTGTTTTGTTTTTTCCATCTTGAACAGTAGCAAACCTCCCCGTCCCCCAAGTTCTACAAAGTCAAGTAAGGACTCAGGATGTTTTTAAAAACAGATTTTCCATTGGCTAAATGCTAATTTGAATAATAAGTGCAAAATCCTATTGGAACATAGAACAATGCCACATTGATAAATGAAAATAATCTATATGCTTAGAAAGGCATATTCAAAACAGAGACATGTATTGTCAGCATAATCAAATTGGAATTAAGTTTTGTAACTAGCTTTATTTCTAATGAAATCTGTTACTTGTTTGTAAGTAGGCTTTCATATCCCATCCCACCCAAAAAGCGGCAGTACTGGATTGAAGATGTTTTGTACTGTGTCTTGTGAGATGTAATGATGTTTTATTGTATGTTACTGATGTTGTCTATCCAAAGTGATTAGGTAGACCTGTGCGGAAGTAATGTAAAGTATGTGATGATGTAACACCAACAACACCCCTTGCCATGAAAATACTTCCTGTATTTTGGAAAATTCCTACGAGGTATTTTGGGGGAGGGGGGGAATTACATTTGTAGTGGTTTTTAGTGAATTTGAAAGGAAAGGCTTTTTTACTTCATCTGACTGCATTTGAAACCCCTATCACATCTGAAACTCATGTAAATATAGGAATGACAGCAACAAAGATACCTAGGTACTTTTGCAAAAGAAAACAGTGTACTGGTTTGGACAAAGAAAAGGCCATCTGTTGTCATATAGATTGTTGAGTTTTCATTGGACGTGGCTTGAATGACCCAGAAGGGAAGACAGCATAGCACTGGCTTCTTTAACCAGTGAATGTTTTTGCCGGTCTATTACTTGCCTTGAATCTTCGAAGACAGTGTGTGTCCAGATGTACAACGTTATCACTGTGAGGTACAATTGAAACATGTTACCTTTCTGAGTTCTAGGTTTCTATAGATTTGAAACCTGGGATGCCAAACATCAGTCTTCAGTAACAAGAGGGGGAAAAAGTGTTCGTATTGGACTCTTTGAAATATATGTATATACAATCAAGTAATATCTGTGTATTTGTGTGTATTATGTGTGTATACTGAATAAGTGTTAGTTACATTGCTAGTATTAAGGTAAATAATTGTGACCAAGTGTTTTCCTTGTAATTGTTGCAGTCTTTGCACATGAATTCTGTTTCCAAAAGTGAGTTCTTCTGACCAGTCAGTAATGGAAATACAGTATGTAAGATTATGATCACATTCATAACCCTACACTGAAAACCCAGCCTACAGAAAAGAGGATTTTTTCCCCCACAAGTAGACAAAAATGCTGTAGCACTTAAGGATTGATTGACTTGTTTCTTTAACCACAATCATTGGGGGGGGGGGAGAAGACTAGAAGAAGATGATCAAATACATGAACAAATACAGGCATTTTCTAAACAGGCATTCACAAGTGCCAGAATTACACCAGACTTAAACAAAATGAAGGAGAAGCCTTCTCAAGTGAAATGCAGGATCTCCACAATCTTGCCAGAATTATGAATTGGGAGGGGGGAGCCAAATCTTTTTTAAAAATCAGCATACAATATTTAATCTGTCTTATTATAAGGAGGAGATAGACAGGCTTCTTATTTCTGCAATAGGGTCACCATGATCTATCAAAAGTGAGTTATACACAGAGGAAGGCTTCCACATAATGATCCCCTGTTCTTGATCTGGTCCTGCATGTATGAAAAAGGTGCTTGGAGGGCAGGAATCTTGCAACCTGGTCTCAGAGCTATGAACCTAGTTAGAACATGAGTGCAGCACCAAATTGGTAGCTGCTTTTTAGTGCGTGGCAGCACAATGAATCTAGTGCTGCCAACTGTCTGTTGAATGCTGCAGTACGAATGCAGATCCTCATAGGAGTGTCATGGACTCACAACCCGCAGATGCATCAGATGAGTTGTGGGATTGGTCAGTAAAGCATTAGTGGAAATCGAAGCCATTACAAATCAGGAAGAAACAATAGTGATTGCATTTCACAGTCTATCAGAATATAAAACTAAACTAAAACTTATAGAATGAATGTAGCCCACTGAGAACAAAAGTTCATGAAGTCATTGGAGGTTTTTCTTTGTGTAGCTATTTGTAATGAACAGCAGTTCCCCTCTCCCACTCCATGATGTTGGTATGGAACAGGAAGGTTGAACTTTGCTACCCCTGCTCTTTGATTCATATCCAGATTGGTCTCCTCCATATTTGGTTTTAAGACTTTAAAACCTTGGTCTCACTGCAAGTAGTATGTTGAAAGGTTGCATGTTGTTGGGCCCTGGAGAAGCTGATTAGGATAACTTTGTGTACAGTATTTAGCTGCCCTAGAGATATGCCTTTGAGGCTGGAGAGAAGGACGGAAGCCTTGCAGTTGATATTGTTCCCATTTGGAGATTTGAGCCAAAATGATTGGCTGTTACTAGCAGTTTTGGTCTCAACAGCTAAGAAATATTATTAGAATATGGCTCCATTTGTGGAAAATATGGTGTTATGGGAAAGTATGCATGAATGAATGTGGTACAGTATATATAAGAGAAAGGGAGAGGGGTGCTAGCATATGTATCATTATGAATTAGCAATGGAAGGAAGAGAATTCGTCACTCATAATCCAGCAGTGCTTTTTGACACTGAATGGCAGGGTTTTTCCTCTTGGTGCTGAGTCTGTGATCCTTGGGGACCTCCACGGATTCTCCATCAGGGAGAAGAGGGGTTATGACAATGGAAGAGGCAGATGTTACTTTTCTTCCATATTTTTGTGCTGTATGGCTTCTTTTGTTCTGTGACAAAAGTAGTTTTAAAGAGGTAACTGTTATCCTGTGCTACTATACCAGGCAAAAGGAAAAAAAATGAAAAAGACAAAAACATTGCAGCACCTTAAAGACTGTCTGCAGTATTTTAATGTGAGTTTTTGTGGACAAGTCCACATCCTCCTATGTCTGAGGAAGTGGACTTGTCCACAAAAACTCACATTAAAATATAGCAGTTAATCTTTAAGCTGCTGCAGTGTTTTTGTCTTCTTTATTTTTATTCTTTTGTTTTTGTTTTGGTGAAAAAAAATTCTAGCAAAGAAAACAAGGTTTCACTCTTGGGTAAAGCAGTAGTTTTTCTCATCTCCACTCATAGTAGGGGTTTGTTTGTTTTTGCCAAAAATAAAGCTTCATAAGAAGTAACATTTGAAATGGCTCTGCTATGTCGACATACAGTCATGGCCAAAAATATTGGCACCCTTCCAATCCGGTCAGAAAATGCAACCCTTCTCTAAAAAAAATGTTGCAGTTGCAAATGTTTTGGTAATCACATGTTCATTTCTTTGGTTTGTGTTGGAACAACACAAAAACAGAGAAGAAAAGTCAAATCTGATACAATCCCACACAGAAACCCAAAAAAGTACTAGCCAAAATTATTGGCACCCTGTCTAAATTGTAAGAAATAAATGCTTTTCAAATATATGATGCTCCTTTAATTTGTATTTGGACACACCTGTCGCAAGTAAGAGGTGTGGGCATTATAGTAATCACACTTGCAACCAGTTAAGATGGAAAAAAGTTGGCTCAACCTTTATGTTGTATGTGACACTGAGCATGGAGAAAAGAATGAAGTGTAAAGAGTGGTCTGGATTTGAGAGGAAAAAAATGTGGAAAAACATCAACAATCTCAAGGCTACAAGTCCATCTCCAGAGATCTTCATGTTCCTGTGTCCACTGTGTGCAATATCATTACAGCCCTTGGCACTATAGCTAACTCCCTTGATGTAGACAGAAGAGCAAAATTACTGAAAAATTATAACGAAGGGAAGTTTGAATGGTGGATACAGAACCCAGATTAACTTCCCAACAAATTCAAGCTGATCTGCAGACATAGGGTAAAACAGTGTCAGCTCACACTATCCGTCACCATCTGACTGAAAAGGGTAGGAGACGCAGGAGGACACCACTGCTGACACAAAGGCATAAAAAGCAAGACTGGAGTATGTCAAAACTTATCTGACAAAACCACAATCCTTCTGGGAGAATGTACTGTGGACAGACAAGGTAAAAGTAGAGCTTTTTGGTAAAGAACATCATAGCACTCTTTACAGAAAAAGAAATGAGGCATTCAAAGAAAAGAACACAGTCCCTACAGTCAAACGGTGGAGGTTCAAAGATGTTTTCCTACTATTGGCATTGGATGCCTTGACTGTGTGAATGGTATCATGAAATCTGATGATTACTAAAGAATTTTAGGGCGCTAGGTAGTGGCCAGTGTCAGAAGCTGCGTCTCCACCAGAGGTCATGGGTCTTCCAGCAGGACAATGACCCAAAACACACTTCAAAAAGCATTCAGAAATTATTACAAACAAAGTGCTGGAGAAGTCTGAAATGGCCAGCAATGAGTCCAGATCTGAATCCCATAGAACACTTGTGGAGAGATCTCAAAATGGTAGGAGTTGGTAGAAGGCATCCTTCAAATCTGAAGGCCCTGGAGCAGTTTGCAAAAGAAGAGTGGTCCAGAATTCCAGTAGAGAGGTGTAAGAAACTCATTCATCGTTACAGGAAGTGATTAATTTCAGCTATTTTTTTCCAAAGGGGGGGCTACCAGATACTAAGTTAAGGGTGCCAATAATTTTGGCCAGTGCATTTTTGGGTTTCTGTGTGGGACTGTATCAGATTTGACTATTACTCTCTGTGTTTTTGTGTTGTTCCAATGCAAACCAAAGAAATGAACTTGTGAATACCAAAACATTTGCAACTACAACAATTTTCTGAGAGAAGGGTTGCATTTTCTGAACGAATTGGAAGGGTGCCAATATTTTTTGGCCATGACTGTATGAGTTGTTCAAGTATGCTGGATATAAATTGAAGAGCTAACAATTTGCATCCACTGTGTATTGACATAACTAATGCATATTTCTGGAACTGGATATAGAAGAATACAAGACTATGGAGATGTAAATCTGCTGATAAGTTTAGTATTACAAACTAGCTGGTTGTCTAAAGGAATGTATCAGTTCTGTCATAGCACATGATGTTGAAACTGGCAGATAATCTGTTCTGCAAAATAAGGGTGCCTCTGTGAAGCAAAACAGCCAGTAATTTCTATTTGTTGGTAGCTTTAAAAAAAAGCAGAGAGCCTGTGTAGTGTAGTGGAAACAAAGATGGTCTAGGACTCTGGAGACCTGGGTTCAAGAGGCTGCTCAACCATGGAAATCCACCAGGGGTGTATGTGGCACTCCCTAAAAGTTCTCTGTAAGTCAGATGCAACTTGATGTACATAATATTTTGTTATATGATTTTTCAAGACAGTTATTCTGTTGCTTAATTCTGAGAGTTGGAGCATGACAGTCCACAAGGGCTGGGTAATTTCAAGGTGGCCATGATGATTTCCACCCTCCAGTAGGTGAAGAACAATAACCCTGTGTGGTACAATGTGTCTGCAAAACTCTAGCACAAGAGGAATACACTGGGATTTCAACCAAGATGGTTACTGGTCCCGTGTCACTGATTTCAAGATCAAAATGATCCCTCTACTGAAGAAAAAAAAAGCATGTCCTTGCAGGCAGCCTCCTTCCATAGGTATATTGACTTCTACCACACATGCTTAGAATAGTTTGCTTGATCAAGGGTCCTCCTTTCAGTAGAAATGAAAAAGTTTTATCATCCCTTTAAAACAAATACTGTATATGAAAATAGAAATCAGTTAGATGTCTTCGATAATTTTTATTGAATGTTCTGAGTTCAGTCAAGACATTAGAAGTTCAGCACACGTTAACAG